AATTATATAAATTAACTAATATCATGGAATAATACGGTTACATCACTTTGCTCATTTATAAACATATATGCACATTTGTGCATTTATTTCAGTAGCTTCTTCAACTTGTACGGATTTTTTTCGTAAGTCATTAAATAATATCCAATTGGCATTGTTGGTCACAAATGCTGGGTACTGTCCTACATCATTCAAAGATTGAGTACCTTCGTAACTGATGATACCTGCGGGGATATAGAATTTGTTGTGGAGTAACAAATTGCGTGCGTAATTACTCAATTTTGTTTTATTGTTCTCTCCATTCGTTGTTTCTATAAACGGGCCATATTTTCTTGCAATTGTTGCTTAGAGTTTGCATGTAGTTTTCTATTACTTGTTTTAGCTGTGCATAGCCAAATATTGTTACGATGTTAATGTCGATTGGTAAAATTATGTTTTTATGGAAAGGAACGTTTAAACAGTTATTGCAGTTTTTAGTCCTACAATAACTAAATTCTTCTTTAAATAGTTGTGTGCAAAGAAACGCAATATTTGAAATAGCATTCACTATTATCACGCCAGCAATATTCTGGCTTCCAAAATAATTTATTCCTGTTAATAGTTCAGCTCTTTTTTTATATGTTGCTTTACTAGAACCGGTTTTTAAAAATAATTTTAGGAAACTAAAGCAATCTGTGCAAACATTCTCAACATGATTTTTAAATGAATTGTGTGTACGGGAAAAAGCTAAAATATGAAATATACTGTCGAATCCGCAAGTATTTTGAACAATGTATTTTTTATTTTTTATTGAAATAGGTATTAATAACTTACTTATGAACTTATGAAAGAATTACTAACTGAAACTTCCTAAAATTTTAATTTTCAAAGAGTAAAGTGTTCTTTATAGAGTTGTTCTAGTGAAAATATTAGCAGTTCCAGATTGCTTAGGTATAATAAGTATATATTTGTGATATGGAACTGAAAATAGAAAAATTATGCTCACAGTAATCAACTAGACATTTTGGCAGCCCAACCTATTTTTAGTTATAACTTCGTAATGCTGTATCCCATAATTTTGATTTTCTAGAACAATAACTAGAACAACCAGAACAACAGAAAATCTGATTTTTCAAAAAATGGGGGGTTAGTAAAAAACCTGTTTTTTGGTTTTTCTCGCAGAGTTTTTATTTTTGCTATTTGCCGCTTTGGAACAATGTAGAACAACTCTAGAACAACAATGAAAAATTTAAAAATCAAAATATGGGGAGCTAACTTCCCGCACTCGGTTACCCCCGCAATTTACAACTCCAGAACAAAGTCTATATCCTCGCAAGTATCATCAGCTACGAAGGTACTCACTCTTTGAGTGATGTAGGACACTACACGGCATTTGTGCCCAACAATGCCAATTGGTTATTATTTAATGGTTTAAGAAAAAAATCGATACAAGTTGAAGAAGCAACAGAAATAAATGCACAAATGTGTGTAAATGAGTTCCGTGATATTAGTCTATTTAGATGATTTAATTTATTTATACTTTACTTTAGAATAAGTTTTTGTACAGTTTTTGCGAAAGAATAGTTATTGTTTTGTTAGTTTGTTAGTTTAGTTTATTTATTAATTTATTACTTAGTTTTACAAAATAAAATACACTTTAAATCGCAACTTATGTTTTATTATTATAAGTTTAAAGAGAAAGGTGATTTTTAGAAAATTAGATGATGGTTTAACTATGTTTTTTAATTCTTATTGTGTAATATAAAACCGCTGACACAAGAATTACTGACTGAAACTTCCAAAAACTTTAATTTTCAAAGAGTAAAGTGCCCTTTAGAGAGTTGTTCTAGTGAAAATAATAGCTGTTCCAGATTGCGTTAGCTATAATAAGTATATATTTGTAATATGGATTTGATAATAGAAAAACTATGGTCACAGCAATCAACTAGGCATTTCGGCGGCCAAACCTATTTTTAGTTATAACTTCGTAATGCTGTATCCCATAATTTTGATTTTCTAGAACAATAACTAGAACAACCAGAAAAACCCAGAACAACAAAGAAAATTTGATTTTTCCAAAAATGGGGGGCTAGTCAAAAAACCCGTTTTTTCGGATTTCTCGCCGAGTTTTTATTTTTTCGATTTACCGCTTTGGAACAATGTAGAACAACTCTAGAACAATCTAGAACAACAATAAAAAATTTAAAAATCAAAAAATGGGGGGTTAACTTCCCGCACTCCTTTATAGCATATTGTGTGAGTAACAATATCAGGTTTAAATTGATCAGTTCATCTGATGCTATAGAACAGCTGTGGATCTCTGTTCTGGTAGATAAGTTGCGTTGTGCTCTTGGTGTAATTTACAAACCTCCTACATTTAACTACTCAATTTTTGTTGATGAGCTGGAAAGTACTCTTTCCATTGTGGTGTCAACGCATAACAAAGTAATTTTGATGGATGATATCAATATTAATTTACTAGAGAGTTCAGTTGCTATAGACGCATTTCTTGACTTATTGCGTTCTGTTGGGCTCTTTCAAATAGTCCTTTCTCTCACAAGAATTACAGCAAGTTCACAAACATTGATAAACATAATTTGTGTTTCAGATCTAGAGATTGTACGAGATAAGGGTGTTTTGCATGGTATTAGTGATCACGAATTGGTATTTTGCGATGTCGGGTTTGTATTGTCACCACAGTTTCCGTTATATAAAAATGTAAGATGTTTCAAGTATTTCAATGATGAAGCTTTTCTTGGTGACTTGTATCGCATTCCGTTCTTTTTAATATTTGATTTCACTGATATAAACGACAAAGTAAATTTCCTCACTTCTAGTATGTTATCGGTTATTGATTGTCATGCTCCATTTAGAAGATACAGATTTACAAGACCCGCAGCCCCTTGGATTACGCCGACTATTAAGGACATACAGAGACTTAGGGATAAAGCCTTTAAAGACTTTAAAACTACTAAAACAAAACAAGCATGGGATTGTTAGAAACAGCTGAGAGGTTTGACCAATGCGGCGATTGATGGAGAAAAGAAAGTTTTTTTGGAGAGATGGGTACAATGCGAGTACAATAATCCCTGGAAGGCTCTGAGAGAGACCGGTGTGAGTACACGTGGAAATTATGTAATACCGCAACATCTTGATCGTCCCAATGATTTAAATTATTATTATATAAATTCAACCTTGGCTGCATTTTCTCCTGATATGGAATTGTTAAACTATTACAAAAACAATAAGATAGGTGATCTGGAAGTGTTTCAGACAATAAACCCAATTAAAACAAATACAGTCGGAATAGATACCTTGAATATTAGGCTTATTAAACTTGCTTGTCCCCATATTGTAACGTATGTTAGACACATCATTAATGCTTGTTTGTCTGAGGGAAAATTTCCTGAAGCTTGGAAGATTGCGTTGGTCAAGCCTCTCCCAAAAATTAGTAATCCTTCTGCATTCTCTCATCTTCGACCAATAGAAAATATATTGTATAATATATTGTATATTTCCATACTTCCGGTGCTGTCGAAGGTGGCGGAAAAGATTATTGTTGCTCAATTACAGAGATATATTTATGACAATAATCTTTTTCCGGACACTCAGTGTGGCATTAGGAATGGTTATGGTTGTGCCACTGCACTGTTAACAATAATTGATGATATCGTCACAGAGTTGGATAAGGGGTAGGCCACTCTCTTATGTTTGTTCGATTTTTCAAAGGCATTTGATACCATAAACGAGAGGTGGGGAACGTTTTTGTTATTAGAGGGCACATTAAAAATAGGTAACAATAAAGGAGGCCAGATGAGTTAATATACCTATAAAAGCGAATTTTGTGATAATATTCGTTTCGTATAGTTTTATCAATTTATTATATTATATAGAAATAATACAAAAAAAACATTAAGTAATTAATTTATTTAACATTATAAAGAAATACAATAGTAAAAGTTAGTAGGATATTTGCATTTGTTTCTTGCTTGAAAGTACTTGAATATTTGGATTAAGCTTCGTAACGCGCAGCCTTAATTGGTCCTCTAAATGAGTATTTGTAATTTGCGTTCTTAAATTTGTTTTAATTTTTGTCATGATAGAAAATGTTGACTCGCAGCAGTAAGTGCTTCCAAAACAGAAAAGTATACGGCGTGCATGCTCTCGTAGGCATGGATATTCAACAGCATTTTTCCAGATTTCTAAGGGGTCCTTTTTAGTGTCAAAAAGAGATTTGAGAATATTATGTTCTGCCAATTCGAATAACTCCATTTGTAATTCGGTAGGAGCATCGGATATATCTACTAAATGTGGTTCAAATACCAATTTCAAAGCAGGAGTGTGGTCATCAAAATCTGCAAATCTTTCAGTATATTCTTCTAATAAAGAATCCAAGACTTCTATATATTCATCAAATATTTTATTTTCACATTTCTGCTCATTGTAAATTTTTACTAGCTCCGGAAAGTGTTCTGCAGATATATCCGAGTGAGCAAGCAATGTTTTAAAAAATATTAATTTTTTTCGAAACGCCTGGATCTTTTGCCACATTTCATATACATGTTTCGTTTTACCTTGTAAAGATATTTAAATTGTTTTGTTTGGTCACAATATCAGACAAAATGCAATGTTTCTGCAAAATACTTCATCTGATAGATCACATAGTTTTTCTTTTTCTTGATAAAAATTTAAAATTTGTCGTCGTAAAATTAAAACCTTTTCCAAAACTTGTCCTGTTGATAGCCAGCGAACCTTGCAGTCTATAGTTAGCATCTGTCGAAATTCACGATGACGCATTGCATTGACGCGAATATAGTTGACAATCCCAATAGCTCTATCCAGAGTGTCTTGCAAAACGGTGGATTTTGCGCACAAATTTTGCTAATGCAAAATACAGAGAAACTATATTGATTTTTCCAAGTTTAAGTTCTCCTTTTTTAATAATGCAACAAATCCTTCTTTTTTACCTCTCATAGAAGGTGCGCCATCGGTGCAGACACTTACTAAGTTAAAAACCATGTAAGAACTTCTAACTTGCGTTTATTTATATAAAGTCGTACTAGTTTCGGGTTACCCCATCATCAGCGACAACTATAAAGAGTACGAAAAAAATAAGATAACAATCAAAAAGTGAATAATATAATAGAGTGATGTTAACTCGAAAAAAATTTTTTTTAAATGAATTAAAGATATAATAAATTTTGTTGAAATAAAAGTTAGAAGTTTAAGTACAAAAAGTACAAGACGTTCAAAAATTTTTAACAAATACGCGAAAAAACCTTAAATTAATCTTAAATCAAATTATATAACAAAATTAATTCAAACTTAGAGGCAGGAAACAATCAAAATGGAAAATTTTTTTTTTAAATTTAAATAGAGTTGACCACGAGGAAAATGAGGAAAAGTGAAAAAATCAAAAAAAAAAACGAAAAATACTTACAGTCAATGAAGCTATAAAAGGTGCAGACTGAAAAACAAGAGAAAGTAAACCATTTTGCTATCTGATGGATAAACAAAATGAAGATAAAGTTGAAAATACGAATGGCGACGTTAAAAAATGTGGAATCTAAAAATAGTAAAAAAAGGGAAAATGAAAACCTTTAAAATATTAAAAGGACCAAAATAATAAATAAAGTATAATATCAATAACTTACTAAGTTATTGATATTTAATTGTAAGCGATGACATATTTCTCTGAAGTTTTCGAAAATGTCAACTCCACGAGTTCTTCCAGTTAGTGTACCTAGCGCAAGAAGTTCTTTATAACACTGAAAATCTTTAGTTACAGCACGAATAAAATATAAAACTTGCGCCGAGTCAGTTCTATCAGTGCTTTCATCCAAAGCAATTGAAAAATAAACATCTTCATTTTGTATAATTATACGAAGTTGCTCTGTTACATTTTGAGCTAAATCGTGCTGCCGATCTGTTATAGTTCTTCTTGAAAGAGACAATTGTTTATATTTAGCAACATTTTCTGGATCTACCATACCTACTGCTTCAACAATACATTCTTTAATTATTTCTACGTCGGCAAACGGTTTGCGCCTTTTTCCAAGTATAAGAGCAATTTTATAAGTAACATCAACTGCAGTGGTACTTTTCTTTACAAAAGCACTAACTGACGCTTGTTGATCATGTTTTTCATTTCTTAATTTTTTTTTTAATAGCTCGTCGAGATTCACCTTCTAAGTTAAAATATTTTTGCTGTTTATGAGTCAAATAGTGTTTATTTGCATTAGCTTTTTTCAAAGTAGTAAAAACTGTATTGCTCAACAAACACACCATTTTATCTTTCACAGAAGTAAAGAAAAAATCTAGTTCCCAGTCCACATTAACATTCTGTTTTCTTTATTTAATTTTCTTTTCTTACAACTTGCCATGATGTAGAAAAAAAATTGTTTGATGTCGAGTGTCGTGGATTCGAAGGACCACCGCGATAAAGGATGCGATGGTTCAGGATCTTTTAGATTGAAACATGATGTAAGATTTAAAGAATAACTGTTTATTAAAATATGATTACATAACTATTCCTTATTAATGTATTGATTGCTACTACTCATCCTTCGCAATCATGACCGCTTTTTAATAACGAAAAGTGATTACGTTACATTATGATCGATTACGAAGAATTTGCAATAGCGCACAAAAGAATACTTAACCTACTTAACAATTAAATTAATATATTATTTATAATTAATTACTACACTACAGGATGTACTATCGCCCCAACCTTATTTACTACATGGCGTAAGGGACAGAAAACAAATCCCCCGCACGGTCGCTTTGCCGACTCATTTTCTCTCGAACCTTTGCTCTAGCCTTGTCGTCTCTTCAACCCTGAAGTGCCGGGCGCCCGATGCCAGCTTAAAGTCGAGCGCGCCTTGGATTCGAACAAAAATACACAATTTCGTTTTTACAATTCAAATAACTGTACCAATGTTATGACGTAGTCGATTTTAAAAATTCATAAAATAGTCAAATATATTCATTAAAATAAAATAATTGAACTTTAATAAGTGAAAAAAATTGTTTCTTAATTTTAAATACGTTTCTGTACTGTATATCTTCGTAAAGTTAAAGAATTTAGTTAAAATTCGATGTAAAAATCGTCTCTTAATTTCCATTAGTAATATTTTTTTTCTAATCTCATTTAAAATGGCATTTTAACCGTTTAATATTATAGAAAGTCTCAATAATTTCAAGCCATTTACGACCATTAATGCGTTTACGCACCGTTTCTTCACATTTTTTTGCGTATTTTTGACATAAGGCTTTTGCGAATTTTTTTTTCTTGAGTTGATATATTTTTTTTGTAATAAGTCTTAAAATTTTACAATAATTTCTCACCTTCATCGTAAATGGGTAAACAATAAACTTTTTATTTTTTGTACACTTTAGTAATGTTAAAAAATTTATTACCTTATTCACATAAGGTAATATAAAATTTCTGTTGAAACTACCTGTAAACTGAATTTTATAGATTGTTATTTATGAGCATGATAATATTCCATATTATAATGAAAAACCATTTGATTTTGAGTATATAATTCATTTATTTACAAAGAAAATTTTATTAATAATAAAACATTTTATTATATATATATATATTTTTTTTTTTTTGCGCAGAGGAGGGGAAAATGCCTTACGCACCCCGGCCTACTGATGGCGCCTATAGTTCGTGGGTCGGAAAAATCGTATTTCGGCCGGGAGTGTGGGACTACAATTAATTAGCCCCTGCTACCCACTAAAAACCCCCCCTCTCTTCTCCCGGACCACCCGGATTTCTGCGGAAGTCGTTATATCCAGGATTCAATTGCAAGAAAAAAAATATTGATGGTTAATATTAATTTTATTAAGGTTATCTCAACTTACCGGCTTTGGAAGGGACTCTTCATCCCGTGGGATGAAGAGTTTTATCTTTTTCGTCTTGAGGACCACAGCCAGGTATGCGCTTATTGTTTCTCACTTGGTTTTGTCGGTCAGCATTGCAAAAATTAAAAAGATTTCATCAAATATTAAGAACAGTTTAATAATAAAAATTACACCTACTTAATAATGAATAAAATTTGTTATGTCAAAATTTAATAATGGGTGTATAACTCGTTATTATTTTGACATTCTTCTAATCGGGATGTCATTGAGCCGACCAATCGCTGACATAAATCCCCGCCACGAAGACTATCCCATTTCCGCATATCGTATTCTTCTAAAATAGCTCGGTCCCGAAATCGTTCGTCAAATTCTCACCCGCTTATCATATAACCCCACACCTCTTCAATGGGATTTAAATCGGGCGAGCGTGGAGGCCATTTTAATCGTTCTACGTTGTTATTGTCTTGAAACCACTCCTCGACTAACCGAGCGGTATGGATGGGGCTGTTGTCTTGTACAATTGTCAGAACCTCCACCTCATCCTCAGGATATACTGCCCTCACACTTGGAATAAAAATTTCTTCCAAAACCCCAACATAATGCCGAGCAGTAAATGCTGGAGGCGAAACTTTAACCAACGCTCCAGGCCCGGCATCGCTGATCCAACCCCATACACCTGATAAACAGTTATTGTGGTAATTGTAGTAATTCGTCAGATATAATCATCATAGAGTAGTTACAAGGTTCTAGAGCTTACCAAGTGAGACTCGTCCACTGGTTGCCATCGCAACGACATTTTCGGCGTCATATCTCGTCCCACTACGACGCCAAACTCGCTGTTTCGGATTTTGGGATAACAAAAACGTCATTTCATCCGAAAATATGACACCTCGCCAATCCCGGTTTATATTTTCTTCACAAAATCTCAATCTGTCCTGGGCATTCTGGGGTGTCAGCTGAATTTTTTCTGCCGGTATTCTAGCCCGCAAACCTATAAAATTATTAAAATTGTTTAGTCATTCTGCTATTTTCTATGTATTACTTTAAAATATCATTCTTGTTTAAACGGTTTCGAATGGTTTGAAGGGAGCAGTCGAGTATTAATTCCTGCCGGATAGCTCTTGATGGGCAAGTTGGGTGCATACGAGCATAATTGACAATTCGCTCATCTTCATCGGCAGTTGTTTTTCTTGGTACTACTCGTGTGCTCTTTAAACCCCTCTCGCCATTCAAAGCGCCTCGCCTTATCCATTTGTTTACTGTCCATCTCTACCAACAAAGCGAAAAATAGAACCACAAAGAATTTCATGTTTTCAAAAATAATTCAAGTAACCCTTTTGATTAATGTATTCCATTATTCTTGGCAAATCAAAATGATTATTATAGAGCTCCTTAAAATACACCCAAGTTTCATTAAAAATCGGGCAAATTTTACTTCAAATTCACACAGATTTTATTGCCTTCTAAAAACAAAATTGATGGGCAGATCAAAAGCACAAAATTATTTTATTAAAAGTTAAACTATTGTGTATTTACATTGTCAAAATAATTATAATTGGTAGTAGATAAAATCGGAATTAAGCTTACTATATAATCATAATATTCAAAATTATTCAATCTTACCGACAAATTCACTTGGTTGCAAATTTGATGAATGGGTATTCCGGCCTCGGCCAGAGCACATATTCGCAGTCTTTGCGCAAAACTACTTTCCGGTTGACCTAACACCTTCATCGTGAATACTTAACACTAAATTATCACTACCTTAATACTCTAATTTAACACTATCAAAAGCAAAAAAAAACAAGAAACCGCTACGAAAAATAACAATAAATTAATACTATCTTAATATAAAAATAACGCAGTCGTAAGACTATCAAAATCAAATATAAAGAAGAAAACGCTCAGCAAAAAATAGCAAAACACTATCAACAACCGCTCACGATCGCCAAAAGCAAAGTGATGTCCAAACGAAACTTAAAAGAATAAATACCATCAAAAAATTAAAATTCTAGGTAATTGCGTTATCTCATTTTTTTATGACCATCGCAAACCCTTTGTAAAATCTTACCGCGCGACATTTAAAGAGACGGGGATGTTTCCCA